ATGATGAATACACTGCTCTCCCAAAGCAAGAACCTGATTATGAAGCCATCATTCGAATCCTATGTAAGCTTGGATCAGAATGGAGGACCACTAGGTGGCCCAGAACCTCGCAGCCTGCCGGTAGATGACTTGCTGCCTATACCTCGAGCTTGGTTTCAGTTTATGATAGGCTCCTTGACCCATGTCCTTCACGATACAACAATGCTCCTATGCCGTGCACAGCTCTTGTACTGTATAGTCATGGGAAAAGAAATTAATGTGTTAATCCATCAAGAAATAAGACAAATTATGGATGATAATCAGAAATCTCTGGTCGTCCCATTCTTGATCAGTCTTTTATGCCAGAATACCAATGTCCCAATGGATCCAAATGATGTCCCAGTCAACAAATTCAAATGGATCACATCTTTTAATATCACAAGTTTTGCTAAGCAATCCCACCACCGTTCAGACAGAGCAGTTTCGACCCCCGCCCCAGCAGTATTTTCATCCAGCACTTTAAACAACAAGCAACAAATGAATCTGGTCCTCACCAATTTATCCTAGCTGCAATAGTCCTTAGATCTCTCCAAGAAAGTACAAGATCGGCATTCGAAGACTACATCGCAGCAGTTGCAGCTTATAATGAAGGGAATGGTCAAATTTGAAGCAAAAATTGATAAAATTGCACAAGACTTACAAGTGCTAGATGATGAAGACGAAGGACCCTCTTGCAGCAACTTGCTCAGCATGATGATAGCCGAAGTGGATCCAGTCACAGTCCTTGATGAAGATGAAGAAACTCCTTGACTTCCTGTTTTTCTTTTCTTGTTTCATGTCTGCTGTTTTATTTTATTTTACTATGATGTACTTTGTTGGCTACTTTCTTTTGTGTGGGCACATGGGTGCCCATTTGACACTATTAACTGTTTCCATTATGCAATTTCAACTGTTACAATTCCTTCTATCTTGTGCAGTTATTTTCAGCGAGTAAGAGAGGAAAGCTCCACACCTCCATTGGCTCTGACCACTCAGGGGAGTCCTTTTTTGCATTTTTCTTTTTCTTTACTGCCACTTATGTACTTATTTTACAATAAGAATTTTCCAATGTAATTAACTTGTAGTTATATTTGTAAACTCCACTGAATTCAGTAAATGCCTCTTTCACTCTTGCACAGTTCACACAGTTAAAAACATCACAAGCAAAATTTGCACATTGCCGAACATCATGTTGAATTAAATTCCATAAATTTTCTGTGTTAGCAATTAAGCCTATTTGTCATTTTTGTGAGCATGCTTGTTGTGATTGTTATTTTTCTTTGCAAGATTTGTCAATTTTCTGCTTTATCTTAAATTGCTTTCATGTTATAAGGTGATTGAGGCTATTTTTTGTTGAACATTCATTTAACTATATTGCCTACCCTTCTTTATCCCTTGTTGAACCCTTTGAGCCTAATTACTTTCTTTCTTGCATAATTTCACCCTTAGCCATATAGAAAAACCAGTTTTTCCTCCTTATATCTTAGAAAGTATGAGCTTCATTTTGGATAACTTAAAAATTCTAAGTTTGAGGTTGTATTATTGATTGCTTGAGGACAAGCATTGTTTTCAAGTTTGGGGTGGTGTATATACCTGAAAAGTAATCAGCTATTATTATTGAAAAGAAGCAAACTCAATTTCTAAAAAAAAAAAATTCAAAAAGAGAAACTTGGGTCTATATTATTGAAAGGGAGAAAATTGAATTACTCAAGGAGGAAGTACACACAAGTATCCACATTCTTAGATATTTTAAGTTATCCCTCATACTTTCTTTGATATAGGGAATAGCTAGCAACCAAAATATTTTCTCACCTGAACCCTGACCATGTTTTAACCCTTATGAAGTCCTCTTGATTATAACTAATTGCATGAATAGATTTGAGCTAGAAATTTGCCAAATCTAGAGCAAAGAGCTAAACACAAGCTGATACATTGAGAGAATGGAGTGAAAATAGATATCCTGATAGGGAGTTTAATTCAATCTTTGGTGTTAAGAAAATTGATGCATGCTTGTGATTTTCAAAAATTTATTTTGCTGTTGCAACAGAGAAAAAGGGAGCAATTTGCTATAATTCAAAATTTCTGTTCATGTGAAAAAGAAAAGAATTTGCTTGAGGATAAGTAAACAATTAAGTTTGGGGTTGTGATGAGTCAGTAACTTATCTAGAAAATTAAAGGTTTTTAAGCATATTTCATTGAATTTAAATTATAAGTTAATGCAATTAATTGAGAAATTCAATGGAATTTTGTATTTGCTGATAAATTCATGAATCACTCATATTCTAATGGCTGGCAATTTTATTTTGAAGGGATTAGAAAGAAATTTTGCAATTGGACTTAAAGACCAAAAGATGAGTGCTGCAGGACTGATTTGTAGGGACACGATGTTGACTGATGTATATAAAAGTGAAATTTTTTTGAAAAGGCGGCATCTTTATCTTTCCTTTTTTAGAACATTCTGGAGCACGGTTTTCTAGGTTTTCATATAGTTTTACGTAGAATAGGGTAACTAGGACAAATTCCTTACATCTTGGTAGAAGGATTCTCATGGGAACTTGGATTTCCTTTCCATCTTCTCTGAATTTGTAATAGAACAGTAATTATTTTATTTTATCATTTTACTGTAAGCTTTTCTATGACTATGAATTTCGTTTCTGTAATATATCTCAGTTTTAATTCATTTCTTTTCCTAATGTCTAGCTAAATTTCCATGGGTTGAGTGAGGATGAACCTATACCTTCACCCTTTGCAATGAACTAACATTGAATATAGCTCAAGACACCTTCTTTCTCTAACATATTAATTTTGAACTTAATGCTTCATTGTTTTACGTGAATGGAGTTGATGAAAAGGGGTTTATTGTTGGGATGTAATAAATTTTCTTGGATAGGGATTAATTTGCTCATTATGAATTATCTAGGAATAAAAATTTATGATGATGTGGTCAATGGGTTTAATTCTTAATGCTGAATGTTGTTAGTTGTATCTAAGGAATTAGGAACTAATTTCATTTTAGAACCAATTACCAAGGAATTTGAGTTGTGTATTTTAGAAAATCTGATCATTAGAGAAGTTGTGTTTTGACTTATAAATAAATTTGTATGCAAAGGGAAAGGAATAAGGGATTTCGAACTCAACCTGTCTTTTAATTGTGTTTAGACCCACTTCCAGTAAATTAGACCTTTACATTCTGCAATTATTTTATTATTCCACTTTTAGTCTCACTGTTTCTGTTTAATATTCCGGCACACTTTCAATTCTGTTTTTAACAATTCTGCACTTAGTAATTTTACATTCTGTTCATATTCTATTTTTGGTAATCCAACTAGTGCTATTCTTGTGGGTTGGTACTTAGCATTAATCCCTGTGGACGATAATCTTTTGTTACTTTAACGATTTGGTGCACACTCCAAAAAGTTCTATCAGCTCTCGTTCATCTTCATGTCACAACCAATTTATCAATTTATGACGATGAAGGAAGGCGTTATGAACATATGACAACCAATTTATCAAAGGCATTTAACAAAATATTTAAAAGAGCGAGCCTATTCACTTTGTAAAGACAACAACATGGTCTCGCTTAATATGCGCAACTCATCGAATGTGAATGATTGTTGGCCATCAGTAGCCAAGTAATATGCCCTCTCATGTGCATCTCCCTACATTTTTAAGCAGATGTAAATGAGTTACATAAAATGTAATTATTTAAAAACATTTGTCATATTGTTTAGATTATTGCAAGGGACATGTAGACAAATATATACCAGAAGTGAAAAAACTATTGCATCTCTCGTCATCTAACGTCTAGTATGAGTGATATATCACCACATGTACTCCGAATTAGAACTCAATAATTCAATTTGAGGGTCATTGTAAAAACTCAATCATTACGCCTCTCCTAAGACGTGGAAACTTATCATTCCAATTATCTCCCATCTTCCCTCAAAGTGTGATGTCATGTTATGCATTATGTTGGTTTAGAGTACGAAGAATATGTTGCACCATTCCAAACCGACGCATTACACAATCCAGTTGATGCCACTCACATATCTGACTGCAAATAAGGGGCACCATTAACCTCCAAATGTTCATCCCTTGCAAGCATATGGGGGCAATGATTCAAGTAACTCCTAACTATAAGGTTGCCACACAATTTGAAAATTAAAAACTAAAAATAATTAAATAACATCAATTTGAATATATATTTCATGAATAAAGCGTTTAAAATTAAAGAATACCTCATCACGTTTAAAACGATCAAGTTTATATCTATAATATGTAATATCCTTCTTCTCCTTTTTGGGCACCTTACTAAGCACGTAAACAATAACAAAGTAAATATAAATACATTAAATTATATATAATAATTTATAAAATTAGAAAATTGGTTCAATTGCATACCTAGCACCATATGGAAGATCATGCCGCAAATGTGGAGGATTAGGAGGAGCCAAACATGGGAACTTATCCCACGCCCACATAACCAGCAATGAAGTCAAACCTCTAATAGTAACTCTGACAATATTTGTCACCATGCATAATTCTCTATATAAGAAACTAAGAGTTGCTCCTCCCAACTATACTACCTTGTGATAGTGAAGTCCTTAAGTAAAGGCAAGTATCTAACAATGACTCAGCTGCTAGAGTAATATGCTAACATAAACCCTCTAATCAATATTATAATATATGTCCTAACAAATCTCGTCAATTGAACCTCGTTTTGATTATGTATAGCAATGTCAGTGAAATATTGGTCTAACCAACTAACTTTTAAGTTGCTCCCCACAAAAGTCTCTGGTGGTGACCTAACACCTGGACTATCCTCAACTATCTGTGGTTGATTACCTCTAGTAGCTGTACATACTAGAAACCCATCACCTCAAAAACCTATTTGTATGGCTATATCTTGAAGCATTATGGTGCACTCTCTTGGCGGCATATGAAACGTGCGTATCTCAAGCCTTCATCTTTCAACCAATGCGATGATCAAATGTCTATCCAATGGAAAGTTGACAAGTTGTGCCACTCCAGTCAAGCCAGGTAGAATCTCCACTAAAACACCGTTTAGGCCGCTGTTATAAGCTGACACTTCCTAACCTTCATCATGAGATACTCTCGATCATCCTAATTTTGTTTAGATACATGTATACTTTAAAAACGCAACAATAGTGGATCATCTGGCCCTAGATTAATCACTAGACCTTATGAAGAAGATGAAGCTATCTAATAATTTAAAATAAATTTTTAGTATTATTAATATTAGTAATCATGACAATAAATTAGTTAATTAATATTTAAATGATTTAAATATACAACTACAAATTTACTTAATCAAGTTACATAATGATATATAAATATGCATAATCATATCTATAATAAAAAATAATATTACAATTACATATTCATACCCAATATTACTTTAATTTCATCTTTCTACAAAATATAAATTTATTAACATTACAAAACTAGTTACTACAAATTAGCATTTTTGTTCAAGTTTGCATAATAAATTGTGTTCATAAATTGTAAAGATAATAAGTATGTCTATTATTTGTTACACTTCTAATAATACACTTTTAATATTATATAACGGATATTTAAAATTTATTATATATTTAGTTATATATATGGATGATATATTGAGGCTGCTGCTTTAAAGGATCCAGGTCTCAATGTTGCAGAGGAGGTTCAGAAGATAGTCAATTTGCTTGACAAGGTGGACAGTCTTTTGAAGGTAACGGAATGAAAATTCCTTTAGCCATGTAGTGGTAATTTATGCTAATAATTTGTTGAAGCATTATTCATAGGATTTTTCTATAGCTTGACATTCTAGCATGGAGAATTCTTTTCATGATAGAAACTGGTAACTTCAAGAAACATTACAGTCTATTCTTTCCTCTCCCCAAGTACCAGCAAGGTTTTTAAAAAGGTTGTTGTCAACTTCCTAGAGGCTGCTGGTTTATATATAATTTATTATGTACAGGGACATGTAAGAGCTAAGCGAATGGCAGTTTTGACATCACCACTGGTTCCTGTTAATGTAAGCACTTTTCTGAGCTATACATTTCCATTGATAGTCCATTTTTAATTTTATGGAGCTTGTGCCTTTACATCTTTATTTCTCACTAATATACTGACTTGATTCATGTCTACCTTCAGGTGCAAGTGAAATCGTCATACAGAGGAGTTACCGTAGATATTCTGTCAGAGGGTCTGAATAGAGCTCTTGCAGTGGAGGGGAAGAAGGTGTTTTTCTTTGTTAAGACTGAGAGTGTCGCTCCCTTGTAAGTCCTCTACTTCTGAAAAGTATTTTTCACTAGTTATACATTTTTCCTCTTTTGAATAGTTCTGTTCCTTTAACTTCACCAAAGAACGTTTAAAATAAAAGGTTAAGTTAAAATTTTAGCCCTTATAGTTTTCATTTATTTTCACTTTAGTCCCTTACACCCTTTTATTGCTCAGGGGAAGCATTGATTGACAGGAAATTATTCTATAATTGTACAAGAATGATTAAACGTTACTTTATTAATGTTAACATTAGTGAACAGTGATAATTTTTGTGCACATATTTGATATTTATCATTGCATTCTGATTCCTATCCTTTTCTTACTGATTCTTGCATATCATACTCTTTTTTGGCAGGATGCTTTTTGATGGCGGATCAATGACAATTCTAAAATGCAATTTTGTTGTTTTCCTATATTGCTGTTGTTGATTATGGGTCAGATGGCAGGGATGTTCAATTCTATTTCTTAGACAAACTTGTCTGAGCATTAGAGGTAATCGATTCTTTACTTCATTCCTGTAGGTCTTATTGTGCAACCTACATTAATTTGTGTGATACGGGCCCATTAATGAATCTAAGGAGTGGGTCAAGAGGGGTGTGTGTGTATATACAAGAAGGGGGAAGGCGACAAATGTGTGAGCGGTTCAGTTGTTATAGAAGGTAGAGAGAGAAAAGAGAGAGTTATGGAAGAATATGATTAGTGGAGACATTTCAATGCCTAGAGTGAGAGTTATGGATGTGGAAATTTATGATCTTTTGTGCATTCTTGGGTCCTCTGAAAATTAATAAATTATAATAGTGTAATTATGATCAAATTATTGAGATTAGTCAATTTATAACCAAGCTTTTAAAATATAGAGCTCAAACTAAAATCAAAGTAAATTATAGGGACCAAAGGTGTATTTGTACCAATTGTGTTGACTCTGACAACGTGTTTATAGTTTCACGATCACGATCTGTGTTTGAGGAATCTGGTTGTGTTGCAAAGCTCAGGACTTCTGGGGAAAAGGACGAACCTTTTCTCACGGATAATGTGAACTATATTGTCGATTTGTATTTCAAGAAGAGTATTGGGGATTTGAAGGCTGCCAGTGATGCCGTTTTGCAACTTGCTGGAGTTGTGGAGCATGGGATGTTCCTGGACATGGCTACCACTATTATTGTTATAGCTTTTATTTCGTCACAATTCCAGAATGTACAATCTAGAAACTCCAAACTTCAAAGAAAAATAGAATGTTTTCCCTGTTATTACTAGTTTTATGATAGCACTCAACATAGGTTGTAATTTTTCCATGTCAAAATAATGACCAATATTTGAATAAATATTATTTCAACACCACCATACTATGTCGCCATAAAGATTTAATTTCTAATTTTATCTATGTAATAACTACTTTTAACATTGATTTTTATGTTTTAAATATGTATAAAATCTTAGATAAAAAACAGATAATAGATTTTATAAGCGTGAAACAAGAGGTTATAATTTATAAGTTGACGACTACAATAATTTCACATAAAACTGGAGATTACATGAAAAACAAAACAAAATAAAACAGAACAGGCCTTCAGCCAAACGTGAAAACAAGAGGACGCATGACACTAATTTTATGACTTAAATTCGTACATTGAATTAAAATAAAATGGAAGAAGAACTTCACCCCAAACATGTGAAAACAAGAGTGATGCATATGAATCCAACTCATCATGCAGCAAAAAGTACTTGCATCATGTGAACTCAAAGCCGCCTAAACTAGACAATAGAAAAGTCAAAAAAATTGGATCGAGATATGATTGTTGTCCCCATTCAATGACACAAGCCTAACCATTCTTGTGCGCCCATCTCTGAGCGAGTGCATGCAAATCAGAAGTTTTCCCAATAGACTGCTGATTATGTCACTTGCCTACTGATACTGATATCAACAATCTCCTAATCCTATTTCATACATGTCTATCATCTATAGTATGTTAAGGTGATAAAATGATTAGTCAGATTTTCACGACCTTACCAATGCTGTGAATGATAGGGAAAAAAAACACGGATAATAATGTGTTTTCTTTTGTTTGGTTGAAGAGAAAAAGGTAAGAAAAGTTGACTTTCAAAAATAAAAATTTAAATTCTACTCTCTTATCTTTTTTTCTTCAATTTGAATTTCAAAATATTTCCTCTCCCCCCATGTGAACATCGTTATTGTTTTTAATTAGATCAAATTCACGTGTAGTCCAATGAAATATCCAAGGCATATCCAGTTTCAAAATAAAAAAGGAGCAAGGAAACAATTAATAAATTTCAGTCATTAACCAAACAAGATGAAAAAAAAGAAGAAGAGAATTTCAGAATATTATTGCTTGTTTAGAAAGTGTCTTAATGATAAAAATAGAAAAAATAGATGTCCAACAAGGATATGTTGAATTCAACTTGATTGACTAAACGGGTCTTCCGAGCCCAAGAATACAAAAGTGCATTAGAAGTGAGGATATACAATAGTTGGCAGATCGTATTTAAAAAATAAATTTAAAACATGTGAAATTCGATTAAAGGATGGGAAAAATAAATTTATTACTTTCAGTGATAGATTATTTTAGCGGGATTTTTACAAAAATAATATTAAAAAAATAAAGATTTACCTGTTTAGACCTGCACCTAATTTATTTACATGGATAGACTGGTTTACTGTACACGTTCGGAATTCGGTTCCCGCGAAACGGAATTCTAAGATAAGTTTAATTTTTTTTATATTTTTATATAATAAAAAAATATTATTTAAATTATATTTATATATTTCTATTTTATTAAAATGAATATTTATAAATATTTTCTTAATTATATAATAAAATAAATTTTATTATTTGAATTATATTTATATTTTTATATTATGTGAAAATAAATAAAAATAATAAATAATATTTATTTTACATATTTACTAGAACATTTTCAGAAACTCAAAAAACATATGAACTTTCCATTTAAATTCCACTAATATCTATGTTGTCAAATTCGAATAATATCAAGAAGACAAATAAATCATTTGAAATAAGGGGTCTTAAAACCCAAAATTTAATGGATTAACAGTGGTAATAATCAATTATCACATATAAAACAACCGTCAACAGGAAAATTAATTATGAAAAGCTGTTCGAAGGAGGTGAAGTAGGATGCGAAACTACTGGTGCTGAAATACCAAAATGATTAAAAAGAGCAGCAAAGTTTGCCTCAACTGTGGACTCCAACCTAGCCAACCGGATAATGCAATCTCTGTGACTGCTCCTCAAGGTCTGCTAGGATGCAATAATTTGCTGCAGCTGATGTTGTACGGAGCTTGGAGTCTCATCAGGTGCAGGGGACTCACCAAGGTGATTATCATTTGCATCATCTTGTACAACAGCAAGTGGTGGTTTAAAGTGCATGGCTTTCATTGTGTCTTGCAAAATAGGCACCATGTTATTAACCAGTGTTAAATTCGATACAGTGTGCAGAATTCCTAAACCCTTAGCCAAACGAGTGACATATGGTCCAGCACAAATGCAACATACACGATCATCATTGGCTTGAGAAAATAAAAACTTTGTCAGACAAATACCAAGATGAATTGGAATCTTCTCAATCATGCTACGCAAGAACTCTAAATCCTTCGTACCCACAACTTCAAAACTGTGACCTCTCCCTGATATAATGTGAGCTAACAATGCATGCACAAACCTCCAAGCTGGTTTTTTCAAAGTGGAAGCCTTGGACCGAGCGGGATTCCAAACTTTATCATCAGCACTAATCTTCTTCCAAAAATCATTACTAGAACAACCCAAAAGAGGAATATGGGACAATCCTTGGTACTCCTCAGTGAGCACAAATTCAGAGCTACATAGCCCCATACGAACTGAAAATTCAAAATAACTCATTTTATACATCTGCTGCATCATACGAAACTGAATAAAGTCTTTAGAATCCCAACCAGAAAATTTCTTTAGAACAACCAAAGTGGTGAGGAATTCTAAGGTTAGCCCTCTATAGGTAGGTTCAACAATGGCAAACAAGTTCTCCCAATTCCCACATCCAACTAATTCTGTCACCTCCTCAAGCAGATTATATTCACGCAGAACATCCTAATCAATGAACTTGCTCTGACCCCAATCCTGATTAATCAGTTTATCATACCTGGTGAGGTGAGCAGGGGCGGTGAAGGTTAGCAGTTGGGATGGGGAAATTCGCGAAGGGGGCTCATGCTGGCGACGAGGTCTCTTTCTCACAGCCTGCTTGTCCTTCCTTGGGGCTCTTGAGGATGACCCATCTGTCATTGTTGATGCAGAGAAAGGAGAAGAAGAATAAGTACACGGTCCTGTACATCTTTTAGGCTTCGAGGGTTTTTACAAAAATAATATTAAAAAATTACCCAAATAAACCTCACCCCTTCTATTTACGGGAATGAACTCATTTACTGTATAAACGTATACCCTTTCAAAATTCGGTTCACTGTATGAACTCATTTTTTATATTTTTATGCAATAAAAAAAATACTCAGGTAACCCTTTCAAGACATTATTGAGCGTATTTGCTATTGATTTATATACTGTACTGGATAAAGATCAACTGGGTCCCACTTGTAGGAAAAGGAAACCGAGTACCTATTCGGCATAATAGGCCGGATACCCCTCGTCAGGATTAAAAGGTAATTAACCCAATTAAGAGTAATAATCAAAATATTATTTAAATTAGGAAAATGGGCCAAAGTATAAATGCTGACTCAACAGGCCCATCAGCCCAATACAATGCCTATAAAAGGAAGGTAGGAAATACAGTAAGTGGTTGACTTCTCATTATTAAATAGCATTTATTGCTCAGAACCGAATTCTGACTTCAGCATCAGAGTGCCTTTTGCAGGTACCCTTCCACATCAGCATCAGTTAGAGAAACGTCAGCACGTCAAAGCAGAGACTTGAAGACCCGTGTTATCCTGACAGGAACATTTTGGCGCCCACCGTGGGGCAGAATTAGCCTCATTTTTCAAAATTAAACATGGTACTAACGAGAAGCCAGCAGGAAGGAACCTCTCAGCAACAAATGGAGGGTGTCACACCAGAGGAACCGATACCTGAAGTACTGATGCAAGGAGGAACAGATGAGAGTATTTTAGTTGTACTAAGGCAGCTTAAGGCAGAAATGACAGAAATGAAGAAGGAGGGAGAGAAGGATGCATTGGAGCTTTCGGCTCTAAGAAGGGAAAATGCTAACCTAAAAGAAGAGATAAGGACACACATCCCCTCCCAAACTACACCCATCATCTGGGATCAGGAGGAGTCCTCGGCGTTGCAAGAAAAGTCAAAACAAGTTTATCAATCGGTAGCCAAAAATGACCGAGATGATCTAGTGAACAGAAGCCCATTCGTTCACCATATTCTGGAAGTTAAGCTGCCTAATAATTGGAGAGGATTGGCAATAGACAAGTATGATGGTACATCTGATCCTGGAGAACATCTGGATGTCTTTATAACCCAAGTCGGTCTGTACACAGAAAACAATGCTTTATGGTGTAGAATTTTTCCCACTTCACTTCGAGGACCTGCACTCAGTTGGTTCACCCAACTCCTCCCTTTATCCATCGACTCTTTTGCAACTCTCACAAGACGTTTCAACTTGCAGTTTGCCACAAGCCGACCTCATCCCTTAACATCCCTGGCCCTAGTCAATATTCGCCAAGAAAAGGGAGAACCACTTAGAACGTTCATGGAACGCTTTGGCAAAGTGACTCTTTCAATCCAAAACTTGGAACCAGCAGTGGCTATGCACCACCTCACAACAGCCTTAAAGCCAGGACCTTTTGTTAATAACATCTACACAAAAAAAAATCCCGTGGACCTAGACAAGTTAAGGAGTCGGGCTGCAAAGTATATGCAGATGGAAGAATTATCCGAATACCGAAACCAGGTACGAATAGACCAGGGGTCCAATTTAAAAAATACAGACAGGAGAGAAGCTTTCAAGGTTAGGCAGGGAAACGAGAGAAGAAATGAACTTGAAAGGCCACCCCGGGGACCTAAGTATTCTTTCTACACTATGCTCAACACTAACCAGTCCAGAGTACTTGATCAGGCATTGGCCATAGAAATATTAAGAATGCCTAGACGCGCCAACACTCCTCCTTGGGCAGATAAAAGTAAGTCTTGCCAATACCATCAAAACAGGGGTAACACTACCAAAGAGTGCAGCGCGCTGAAAGACAAAATTGAAGAATTAATCAAGTAAGGACATTTAAAAGATTTTGTACAGACAAATTCCATGGGACAACCTAACAGAGAAAGAGACCGTTACCCTGAACCACCAAAGAGGTCTGACGACAAAAAATTTGAACGACACAAGAACAGGTCCAGGGAACCCCCAACTAGAAGATATGATGAGCGAGAGAAGTATCCCAAAAGGGTCATTAACACCATAGTTGGAGGGTTTGTCGGTGGAGGACCTACCTATTCGGCCAGAAAGAGGCATCTCAGACATGTTCGTTCTGTTAATAATGTTTCATTGGGCAGCAGAATGGCAGATGGGTCATCCTCAAGAGCCCCAAGGAAGGACAAGCAGGCTGTGAGAAAGAGACCTCGTCGCCAGCATGAGCCCCTTTCGCGAATTTCCCCATCCCAACTGCTAACCTTCACCGCCCCTGCTCACCTCACCAAGTATGATAAACTGATTAATCGAGATTGGGGTCAGAGCATGTTCATTGATTGGGATGTTCTGCGTGAATATAATCTGCTTGAGGAGGTGACAGAATTAGTTAGATGTGGGAATTGGGAGAACTTGTTTGCCATTGTTAAACCTACCTATAGAGAGCTAACCTTAAAATTCCTCACCACTTTGATTGTTCTGAAGAAATTTTCTGGTTAGGATTCTAAAGACTCTATTCAATTTCGTATGATGCATCAGATGTATAAAATGAGTTATTTTGAATTTTCAGTTCGTATGGGGCTATATAGCTCTGAATTTGTACTCAATGAGGAGTACCAGGGATTGTCCCATATTCCTCTTTTGGGTTGTTCTAGTAATGATTTTTGGAAGAAGATTAGTACTAATGATAAAGTTTGGAATCCTGCCCAGTCCAAGGCTTCCACTTTGAAAAAACTAGCTTGGAGGTTTGTGCATGCATTGTTAGCTCACACTATATTAGGGAGAGGTCACAGTTTTGGAGTTGTGGGTACAAAGGATTTAGAGTTCTTGCGTAGCATGATTGAGAAGATTCCAATTCATCTTGGTATTTGCCTGACAAAGTTTTTATTTTCTCAAGCCAATGATGATCGTGTGGGTTGTATTTGTGCTGGACCATATGTCACTCGTTTGGCTAAGGGTTTAGGAATTCTGCACATTGTATCTAATTTAACACTGGTTAATAACATGGTGCCTATTTTGCAAGACACAATGAAAGCCATGCACTTTAAACCACCACTTGCTGTTGTACAAGATGATGCAAATGATAATCACCTTGGTGAGTCCCCTACACCTGATGAGACTCCAAGCTCTGTACAACATTAGCTGCAGCAAATTATTGCATCCCAGCAGACCTTGAGGAGCAGTCACAGAGATTGCGTTATCCGGTTGGCTAGGTTGGAGTCCACAATTAAGGCAAACTTTGCTGCTCTTTTTAATAATTTTGGTATTTCAGCACCAGCAGTTCCGCATCCTACTTCACCTCCTTCGAACAGCTTTTCATAGTTAATTTTCCCGTTGACAGTTGTTTTATATGTGATAATTGATTATTACCAGTGTTAATCCATTAAATTCTAGGTTTTAAGACCCCTTATTTCAAACGATTTATTTGTCTTCTTGATATTATTCGAATTTGACAACATAGATATTAGTCGAATTTAAATGGAAGGTTCATATGTTTTTTGGATTTCTGAAAATGTTCGAGTAAATATATAAAATAAATATTATTTATTATTTTTATTTATTTTCACATAATATAAAAATATAAATATAATTCAAATAATAAAATTTATTTTATTATATAATTAAAAAAATATTTATAAATATTCATTTTAATAAAATAGAAATATATAAATATAATTTAAATAATTTTTTTTATTATATAAAAATATAAAAATAATTGAAAAAAAAATTAAACTTACCTTAGAATTTGATTCCCCGGAACTGAATTCCGAACGTGTAAAGCAAACCGGTCTACCCATATAAATAAATTAGGTGAAGTCTAAAAAGGTAAATTTTTATTTTTTTAATATTATTTTTGTAAAAATCTCTATTTTAGCTCTAGTAACATTATTAAGAACAAAATAATGAAAATATAAACGGATAATCAATACTTTGGAAGCATCATCAACCATCGCTGTCCCAGAGAAAAGATGAGTAAAATAATTCATTTAAGTTTGCACGATGTCTTTTCACCTCAATTGACACACATTCATAAATCATAATAAGACGAAACAATACTTCAAATTCCCAGTTGGTTCCCATAAAGCAGAACACCCAAATTAAACAGATTATAACTTCTCAAGGGTCGTGTGTTCCAAACAACATTTGAAAAACAAATAAATAAAGAATATAATTGAAGTAGCCCTTAAATTATTGATCAACCTATATGTTCAAACCTAGACCTAAAATTGTACAGTTCCTAAACCACCGATGACAATTGTAAATCAGGGGAAATGAATACGTAGACGATCTATGTACAGGACTTACTTTCACTCAGTTGAGTGGTTTCAATTCACGAAGAAGAGAAAAGCAGGAACAATTTGCAAAATCAAACAAACAGAAAAAGAAAAAGAAAAAAGTAATTGAATCGAGTCTACCTTACCAGGCACTAGCAGCACTTTTCTCCGAAGAGGGAGAATAATAATCCATATACCAATCAACAAATGTCTTCAAACCCGTTTCCAAATCAGTGGCGGGCTTGTAGCCGATCTCCTTCCTGGCCAAGCTAATATTGGCATGCGTAAAAACGACGTCGCCGTTTGCAGGTATGGGCAACAGTTTCTTCTTAGAAGGCACCTTGAGCAACTTCTCGAGAATGCTGACAAGCTTGGCGACGGGGACGGGCGAAGTGTTGCCCAGATTGTAAACGCGTAACTGGGCGGGCCCATTCTTCTTGCCCCCACTCCCAGTACTCTTCTTAGCAGTGTCCAAAGCCCCCAAGCAACCCTTCACAATATCATCAATGTAAGTGAAGTCCCTGGCCACGGAACCACCGTGAGGACCCTCGAAGATACCTATCTGTTTCCCTTTCAATATATCTTTAGTGAAGAAGAAATACGCCATATCGGGCCGGCCCCAAGGCCCATAAACGGTGAAGAAGCGCAACCCAGTAATGGAAAGTCCATAAATATGGTTATAAGTGTGCGCAATTTCCTCGCCGGCCTTCTTGGTCGCAGCATACAGGCTGGCCGGCTTGTCCGTCCGGTCCCGCTCCGAGAACGGCACCTTCGAATTGAGGCCGTAAACGGAACTCGAGGAGGCCCACACGATAGCGGGTTGAGGGTTCGCCGACTTGCAGGCCTCGAAAACGCTCACGAGGCCCGCAATGTTGCTGTGAATGTAAGAGGAAGGGTTCTTCATCGCGTAGCGTACCCCAGCCTGGGCCGCCAGGTGCATCACGTGCGTGAATTTCACTAATTTGAAGAGAGACCTCATGAGAGCGCCGTCGTTTATGTCTCCCTCCACCACGAAGACGCCGTGACGCGCGAGAAGCTGCGTCCGTGCACGCTTCAGGGAGGGGTCGTAGTAGCGGTTGTAGTTGTCAATGCCCACGACGCCGTCTCCCCGGAGTTTGAGAGCAATGGAGACGTGGGTCCCAACAAAACCGGCTGCACCGGTGACGAGGACCGTTAGGGGTTTGGATTTAGAGGGAGGACGAGGGGTGGCAGATTCGCGAACGGATGTCTCCCAGTGAGCTCCGCCGCGGAGGGATCGCCGGGAATGGGAATGGGAAGCGGACGACGGAGGAGATCCCAACAATAGCAGGACGATCAAGCTTAGCAACATGAGCGACCAGAAGAGGAGCTTGGTGATCGACAGTGGCAACCGCGTTCGATGAATGCTCATTGGTTTATGGAATCCGTAATAGAGAGAGAAAAAGGGGATGCATAAAATGGTGGTGTCGGTTGCTTCTTTTTCAGTTGAATTATGTGCCGTGAGAAGGGAAAACAAATAAGTGTTTGTGTTAATTTTCACCTGGTCGCTGCGTGTGTAAATTGTGTTGTTTTAGGTAAATTGTTGTAGGTTGGGCACTTATCCATTTATCCAAAGTGAGGGACAGGAGAGCGCGTCTTGAAAACTAGGATAAAATAAAAACGAGGTTTGAAAACGAGAGAGAGAGAGAGAGAGAGAGAGAGAGATTGTAATGGGATGAAGCAAAAACAAAAATGAGGAAGTGCCGTTTTGGGATGCGGGCGATCTAGCTAAGCTAGGATAGGATTGATTGATTGTTGCATATTGTAAATTGGCCTTTGATTCCCTTTCGTTTCGGTTTGTATTTATGTGCAAAACCCACAGCATCATTTTCATCTCAATTCAATCAAATTCTATTTTAAATTTTCGTCCTCACATGACAATTCAAAATGAGGATTTTTATAAAACATGAATTATGAGTTCGCGGACTCTACACCTCAAGTTTGAACTCTTCGGATTGAGAGTTAGTTTAAAAAAGAAAATTAAGATTTATTTGATATTTGATATTTGCTTTTTCTTTAGAACTTATAAAGAAGAGAAAGCAATTTTATAAATCTTTCAAAATTTTTTAATTTATGTTTTTAAATTCTACTTACTGATTTGGAGGATTTTAGATTTTTATTAACTCTCCTCTTTTACTTTTAAAACTTTTTTTTTTAATTCCCAAACATTTGAATTTTTACCAACATTATCAATTGGAAACTTTCGAGTATTTTTTATTAGTATTAAAAAACTCCATCTAATTTTAATTAATTAATTAAAGTATAATATTATAAATGCATTAATAAATGGTTAAAATATTAAAAGTCATATTTAAATAGTATACAGTGTGTTTTTTTAACTGATGCCGAATGAAAAAAATGCCCCTTTAGATGATTGGAAGAGTGAAGAGTAGGGAGATGTTAAGATTGGAGGACAGGAGGCATTTGAAATATTCAATGATGGGTACAAATGTTACATTCCAATAAAAGAATTGAACAAAAACTCGAGAGGGATTTACATATACCGTATCTGAAGTTAATTTTTAAATATTCTAACCATTAAATTAGTTTTTTAATATTTAAAATAGGCATTAGTTTAACTACTTAACATTTATCCTCGGACATTATTTTGATACTAAAATTAATGGTAACTATATATTTGAAAAAAAATAAAAAATAAAAACAGGTATATCCAATATTGAAAATAATTATGTGTTTCCAATCAATTCAATAGAGTTCTTAGGGGCAAAGTCTTGACTGTAATATCAGACCCCAAACCTTTTAAAAAATTAATTCTTAAACAAATAAATATCAGTAGTTTTAGTTTTTGTGCTAAAAAAAATGCTAAGGCGATGTTAGATAAAAATACCTAAATAGTTAACTTTTAGTTGAAATTTGTAAAATTAACTTACTAGATTAAAAATATTTGACAATTTTAACAATCAAACTAGACGATAAATATAAGATGACATAAAATATGTTTGTAAAAAATTTTATTGATCAAAACTTAAGTATAATATCATAGGTAGTGCTGATGTTGTACTTCAGAGTTAATATTTTGTTTCAATAATGTGTGCCAATTTTTAATTTTAGTGTGTTGACCCTTAACGTCATTTTTTATTATATAGATTACTGTGATGAAACTTTTATTCTGATCGAAAAATAACACTAATAATATTCATGATTCTGTACTTATATTTTGTAATTTTTATATTTTTTAGAAAAAATATATTTTCGATAATGATAAATATTTTAAAAACTTAACCATGTAAACTGTGTAATTTCAAATAAATAATATAATATTGAAAGACTACTTTTAAATAAGCCATGTAACATTAAGAAAGACAATAAATGGCTTGAACGAAATAAACGGCTCAAATGAAATCTGCGACTTGGACACCCTTCAAAAACGGCTTGAACGAAAAGTTTCAACTTTGCTTGGGCACTTAGTCATGGGTACACAATTGAAAAGCCGCAAAGCAAAGGTTCCAAATTTGCTTTAGTTTAGGGCTGAGTATACAAAAGTGTGGTACATTTGATTTGAGATTTTTGTTCAACATGGGCCACGTGTTAAAGAAGCCCAAAATATTTCATCAGAAATCCTTGTAGGAAAAGAAAACTAAACACGACCAAACCTTGCAGTATATAGTTCAAGTGGTGACAATACGAGGAAACGCAAGTCAATAAATACATTATTTTATCATTTTTATACTATTTTTAAAATAAAAATAATGTTTATATAGAATATAAAATTTATATAAAAGAATAGGATATAGAATAATACTTTTAAGTCATTAAAAAAAAATACTTATATATTCATGAAAATAATAAAATGTATTTCTAAAAAGAAATAATATGGTAAAAATTAAAAAATAATAATAATAATAAATAGTTAAATATTATATTTATTAATATATAAATTTAAAATAATAAGTAAAGCATTAATTTTATAAATAAAATTATATATATACACGCATAATTGAGTTTACGATTGATTTTTAATATGGAATTCAATCCAATAAAAAAATTTATAATTTTTTTATTTTTAGTAAATTTATTTTTGATTAATTAATTTAGTTATTGCGATTTGTATTGGATTGGATCGGTTGATGAATAGTTCTACTAAAAAGTGATATGGAATTTGGTGTTTAAATGCACATTGTTTCTTATATATAGAAATAAAACCGGATACAACAGTATAGGACTTAAACGCTCGTAGGCCTCTTCTGTTCTAATTGGAATGGTTTAAAGTGATGTGTATAACTATAGAGAAATAAACTGCAGAAATATCAGATATTATTTATGATGTATCAGTGTCATCCATCTATTCCAGTTTCCAAATAAAACTGGAATTATGAGTGTGTCAATATGTGAGCCAGCGGCATGGTCCGTGATGTATCTACGCTTGAATTAGACAATGCAATAACAATATTGTGAATTTGAACTTGGAAACGAATGAAATGGAAATTGTGTATCCAATACGGCTAGTTTTGAATGTACATCATTTTTTCCTGTCAGTTGCCAATGAACCAATTAGCAATTTCGTGATGGAAAAGAGATACCACATTTGTCAGTTCAAATAATTGTTTCGCAAAAAGAACGTCTGAATGAGTATCCAGTACAAAATACTCGAAGAAAGATTTAAGATAAGATGACCACATTGTACTCATTGTAAGCTTTTTTTAGTGAAAAACCCCGACATATCTCGTGTCCTGAGATCAAAGTAGACGAGAACGCACCATTTTCACTTTACCGTAGAGATGTATTGAACGATAATTGGAGAGTGCAGCTGGAAATCTTGACGTTATCTTGCGTGGAGCTTGATTTGTTGCTATGTTCAGTGGTGTTGCCTTGAGGCAAAGGAGGAGTGCTCTGGTTCTCTTTATGGGTCGACAGTGCCAACCTTTGGGGGTGCCTTCAGGGATATCTCGTTTTAAGGATTTGTTCAGAACCTTAATTAAAACGATTATCATTTTTTTAAAATTTTGTTGAAAATCGTAAAACGACAATTATTTTATTTTGAAAGGAATAAAGCGTACAGCTACAAGGTGTTGATTTATCCTCTACTTTATAGATAAAACTCGAAATACTAGTGATATATTTGTGGGGAAATTAACCTGCTTATTGAACTCACCAGGACCATCTATAGAGTAACGACACGGATTGAATACTTCTCTCGGACACCGATTGGGTTATCCATTCATCCTTAACAACCTCGCAAGAATATCCTATTATCTGCATTATAGATATAAAAAATGAGTATCTGAAATTCGAGCCTTTCGGCATAGAAGTGGTACTTATCGGATAAATGGTAGTGAATTTGCAGATTTGTGAAGCTTTACCTGACAATTCATGTAAATTAAAAACAGAGCAAGAGACAAAGCACAAAGCACCGCTATATAATGTATCCTAAAAGACTGGGTGAGTTCAGATAATGCTGGAAGGAATTCATATTTTGTAACTGGTCAGGTAAACAAACTAAGAGCTGATGTGAAGGGTTTCTGACATTCTCCTTCAACCGACCTACACCGTTGCAATAACTTTTCTGTATTGGGATGCCAACTTGAAATTGAAATACAAGTACGTTATCTTATCTGGAGAAATAAAGCAAAACTACTTCCCGAGCCCATCTTCCTTTTTCTTGTTTTCCTCTCAATCTTCAACCTTCACTTTAATCATAATAAAAATTTACCCAGCCTACTTTTCATAAATTTCGCCGCCAACTATTTTGAATAATTTAAATTATTTTTCTTCAAAAATGGGGAATACAGGAAAAGGAAAGCATTTAAAAGCTGAACGAGTTTGTGGTTATTTAAAAATGAAAACATAAAACATCTTAATCACATTAAATAATTTAAAACGAATAGTATTAACGAAAGGGTTGAGTAATGTGGATTAAAGGAAAAAGAGTAAAAGAGGAAAGCAGAAAGGACAGGGAGAGTTATCGACGTGGATGGGAGCATGGATCATCCAACAGGGCAACAGCCAATAGGTGGATCGGACCACAACGCTGTGCGGTCCCCATTTTTCAATTTTTCGAACTCAAACAAAACAGCACGTAGTATATAGTAAGGGTGTTATTTCCTTCAAATTCCCAACATGCCCCTACACTTCATTTTCCCGCGCAAAAGAAGAGGAATTCTCAATTCAGATGACGACAACCACCATCATCATCAATGTAAATGATGCCCTCTCCTCTCTCACTCCCTTGGGCCCCACGCCCCCCTTCACTTTAAGAATCTAACTGTCCTCCATTACCCGCAAATCAATGTCACCAAAAATACAAACTCATGTCTCTCTTTTTTTTTTTTTTTTTCTTTTCTCAGTACATTTTGCCAAATAAATATATATATCATCGCATTCTTAAATTTCATATTGATTTAGTAATTACCGGCAAGTAATTTCGCTAATATGCGCCCTTAAAGTTAATTAGTTCACACTGTTCTTTTACAGATTTCTCCCAATAAATAAATAAATAATTGAAAAGTTTTTGTGTGTATAAAGAAGCTTCACCCACTGATACACCACGATTTGTACTTGGGAGCTCTCAGCTCACTAGCCCCAGCTACTCCCTCACCCCATCCCTCACAAGCCAAAATGTACCAGGGCTGCTACGCCCCGTCGCCGCCGTTCACGGCGCTTTTCTCCTTCACCCTCGTCCTCCTCTCCTTCCTCCTGGCCCTGGGTCCGGTTTCCGGATGGAGGCCATGGCCTCAGAACAACAAAATGAACGTCACCGATTACGCCTTCAGGGACTCCAAGAAATACGAGGGCTCATCGGAGTTCGTTAAACTGAGGTACCACATGGGACCGGTCCTCACCACCAACATCACCGTCCACACCATCTGGTACGGAAGGTGGGAGAAGAACCAGAAGAAGATAATCCGCGAGTTCATCAACTCAATCTCGGCCGCGGGCGCCCCGCACCCCTCCGTGGCCGGGTGGTGGAGAACGGTCCAGCTCTACACGGACCAAACCGGTGCGAACATTTCAAAATCAGTTCGGCTCGGGGAAGAGAAGAACGACCGGTTCTATTCCCACGGGAAATCTTTGACCCGTTTATCAATACAGTCGGTGATTAAGAGCGCCATCACAGCGAGAACTCGGCCATTGCCGATCAACCCGAAGAGTGGGCTTTATCTGTTGCTGACCGCAGATGACGTGTACGTTCAGGATTTCTGCACGTCAGTGTGTGGGTTCCACTACTTCACGTTTCCGTCACTGGTTGGGTACACGCTGCCATATGCTTGGGTGGGTAACTCCGCTAAGTTCTGCCCCGGGCAGTGTGCTTACCCTTTTGCAGTGCCCGCATATATCCCCAACCGGAAACCCTTTAAGTCACCAAACGGTGACGTTGGGGTGGACGGCATGATCAGTGTTATTGGACACGAGATGGCTGAGCTGGCCACGAACCCGTTGGCGAATGCTTGGTATGCAGGTCAGGACCCGTCTTTCCCGGTAGAGATTGCGGATCTGTGTGAGGGTATTTACGGGACTGGCGGCGGTGGCTCCTACACCGGTCAGGTTTTGGACGCTCGTGATGGTGCCACGTATAACATGAATGGTATAAGACGGAGGTTCCTGATTCAGTGGGTGTGGAGCCATGTTCTCAATTACTGTACTGGTCCTAATGCTCTTGATCACTGAATGTAGAATGGGATATTTCTTCTTTTTTTCGTTTTCTTTTTCTTTTTTCCTTTTATGGTTACCTTTGTTTTGGGCTTTTGGTCTTGTGGGCTTGTGGTACTGTGGGAGTCTGGTAATTTTGTTAAGGTAGTTAAGTTTGTTCATTAATGCAAATAATGTAATTTTAATGTTATATCATACTAATATAATTATAAACTTGTTTCTTGAGCCTGTGTTATGGAGGGATTTAGGGTTTGTGAATGAGATTGGTGGAAGAGTGGGAATTAAAGGGAGTAGGTGCTAACAATAATAATGGAATTGAATAGGATTAGGTGTATTTTTGTTCATTTTCTGGAAGGAAGCAGAACGGCGGAAATGAATATTGAATAGGAATTGCTAGATGCTAGTGTGATTGAATGCGAGGGACACTAGCAAGCTTTCGTTGATGTTGCTGTTGCACCCCACTGTCCGAGTCCTTCAAAAACCTACCGAGCTCCTTCTGTCACTTGAAACAAAATAACTGAAATACCAATCATACAATTAGCACACCTATCGGGTAGGGTCTCGCCGCTTGCTATACACTCATCTCATATATTATCGGGACAAATCTTAATATATTTTTAGTTACTAGCTAAATTTTACTAAAAATATATGTTAATTTTACTTATTATTATTAGCATTCTTTCCTCTGTTATAATTTGTACTCCTTTAAACACTTTGAATAATCGTGAAATTTAATTATTTATAAAATGATTATATAATTTTGTTGTCTCAAATAAATAAAAAATGATCTTGTACGACTGACTGCGGAATGACATGTTTATGCCCCATAGATACATGTAGAATTCTTTTCTCATAGTATTAACTCGTTAACCTGCTAATGTGACCCCAATCCTGTCTTGTCTTTGAGTAAATTGTCATTAAATTTGCCTTTCGAATCTTTAAAGTAAAATCGTGTGTCGTGGAGAACTTACATTGGAATCATCAATCATGCTTTACTTACTTTAATTAATTAATCCTTTTGGAGAAAATTAAAGGCATCAATTATTGATATTTATGTAATCCTATTTGACTGTTTACTGATTCATTTCGGCCTAAATTGGTCATTTATTTGCGTACCATATTTGCTCGATTTGGAAGGACACTATTTCATTTCCATACATATTAACAACTTTTTGGTCTAGTTGAAAGCAGTATAGGTAGTATCCCTTCTAACTTCTAAGAATTATCGCAGGACAATTCTTCGTGGAAGACTCTACCAGGAGAGGCTCTAAATGGGATTGTTGGTGATCTAGATTTTTTATTAATTTTAAAGCCCCAACCAAGAGCCCAGGTATTCTCTCTACATCAATAAATAATTAATAATAATAAAATTTTATTAAAAAGTGAAGTATTTATTATATTTTTATAATTTTAATATAATAATTATATTTTTTTCATACTAATTTTTTATTTATAAATGTTTAAATTCAACACTAAAAGTTTAAGTTAATAAAATTTTTATTTTTATTAAATATTTATTGCATACATGTATATTCAAAGTTGATATCAATAACGGTAATAATTACAGGAAAAAATAAGAGTAGAATACCCAAATCCGTTTAATGATAATTCGCAATCAAGAAGCCAATGATGTAGTGGATGATCTAGACTATATAAGAACTTTTTTTTGTAGTTGCAAATACATACTATAAGTTAAGCCATCGTGATTTATGTCTCTACCTATCCTTAAATTAAGCAAAAGATTCCGTTCATGGATCCTGCGCATAAGAACTTCCAAATGTTATTATTCCTTGAAATATATTAGAAGCCGAAATGCTGATTCTCACCCGCTCCCTCAAATACATTGTGCGTACCAAAGTTTATATAATCATGAGGGGTGGGGGTTAATAAGATAAAACAGGTTATATAATAAATAAATTAATCATAAAATATTATCTAAACAATAGAATTTGAAAAATAAAGCTATCGTAATCTAATGACATCTGGACTACAAGCCAATTTAATAATCTAAAGTACAACAGGAACTTCAGTTATCTATTACTCCTGTTTATCCTTAAATTGAGGAAAGATTCTTTTTTTTTAATAAGAGATAAATAAATAACTTACTAAGAGTAATAAAAAAAAGTTATACATTATGTTTAACAAATAATTATATATCATAAATTGATCAAAACAGCAATATGATTTAAAAAATAAAAAAAGCATTTGTAATTGTACCATCGATCTGCAAGAATTCTCCCAAGCTCATAATCTAAAAACATTTCGAACACAAAGCCAAATTTATGTAGAGTACTATAAGAACTTCAGTCATCTATTATTCCTGGTTATCCTTAAATTGGGGAAAGATTCCAATGATTATTATTTCGTTGGGTATCTTTTATAAGAAATCAAAAAATCATAACAGCAATTAAAAAATAATTATATATCCTAAATTTATATTATTTTAACAATATGCATAATATTAAATGACTAGATTATCTATACTAAATTATCATTTTGTATTTTGAAAATTTACTGAATAAAAATATATTTATTTAAAATAAAGATTCTGTCCTTTCTAAAACTTTCTATCCTAACAATTCTGTGATTATTTTATATAAAAAATAATTTGAGAAAATAATAATTCTGAGCTGACGCAAGCATATTAAAATGCATTGAAATACATTTGAAAGAAAAAAAATTGTAGTTGGTCCATTAATCATTTTACGGAAACATAACTAATCGACCCGATTTCAATTGTTTACTCATCTGAATACTGGCTTTAATATTTTTACGTTGGATAAAGATAATTCGAAATAGGCACATAAATGCTGAATAATGTGTAAATTTTGAACGTTCATACCACCTCTTTATTATCGTATTTCAATATTGATGCCAACATATCGGAAATTATAATGTTACCCAGTAGATCGAACATCTAAGAGGAAAATTAACAGTAGCAGAACACGTGAATTTGTACTTAATGGAGTAGCATAGAAGTAGATTTTGATTTTCCAATACCGATACTCTACATACGAAATATGAAAATATCTTAGTCCTCTTAAATATAATCCATATTATGATGATAAAGGCTTTCTCTGTACCCATTTTTATGTTGCAATTCCATACACAATCCATTCAGTAAATGCTTTACGCCTATGTTTGTGATAGATATTTCAGTAGAATTTGAACGAAATGAGGAAAAAGAAAGAACTACTCAAACATAAGCGTACCTCGGCAGATATTTATGCAAGGGGTCTATAGAAGCATGATAGATTGGCATAGATGTACGTATAAATGTGCCTGGAAACCCACAAAAAGCAACAAATGATGAGGCGTGAGCGGGGTCCCCAGGGCCCTACGCTCTGCCTCTTTCTCAAATATTTTTAAGATAACTTTATGGGGATTTGTGAGGCAAGGCTTATGATGTACTCCTTTTCTTTTTTGAAAATCGATCTTGAAAATGCTTTTGGGGATCTCTTTTTCTTAAAAGTGGGCCACGTTTTGTTCTGTACTAAACACGAAAAGCACCCCAGTTGCTCCTTAGAAACCCAACCAGAAAACGAAAAGAGAACCGGTTGCACCTTGGTTTTACCCTGCGATCTCGGTCAGATGACCAATTCCATTTGAATTTGCGTTTTGTAACACAGGAATGCAATTCACCCTTTTCCCCAAAAAGATTTATTAACTTTAATTTTTAGAGTTGAGTTGAAGCACACATTAATTAATTTTTGACAGATTAAATATAACTAGAATGCCGAAGAAAATAATTATCATTATTTTTCAACTAGTTTTTTTCTTTTTTTAACTTTTCGGTGACATGACTCCATGTCATTATTTGCGCTAGTTTCAACACCACCTTGATGAAATGGTTCGTCTTCGTTGCTTAGTTTGAAAAGATTCATAATAAATTTTGATGAAAATAAAATAAGGTTTGATCACCTGAGACATTGTTGAAAACAAACTTTTAGGTTATTATTCAGTTGATTGACTACAAGTGGGTAAGAAAAAAAAGGTGAGTGGCTTGGCGACGAGTGCATTAAATATCGCGGTTGACCCAAAAGTAAGTAAATTTATGAGCCCATTGCTCATCAATTAACGCATTTTCCGGAAACCCAGCTGGATTTCACTTTGGCATTTGACCCCAATCTGAAACAACATATAGACTACGATGGAGTAGGTGGTAGGATGCGACACTGTTTGACATGCCTAACAAATCAATGAATCATGACCTTTCCCAATACATCTTAAATATTTTTTAACATCTTTTATTTCTTAATTATGTTTTAATAGATATTATCAGAATATAAGTCTTTTTTATTAAATTTATATAAATTATAATTAAAAATAAATTATGTATTTAAAACATGTATTGCAGTTTTTTATTAAAGAATACTGAGGAGGGATGTGAATGATTTTTATTAACGTTGGCTATTCCTACAAATTATCTATGATAAGTTAAATATTTAAATGTAAATAAATATTTATAAATAAAACTACTATAAAATCTACGTTTATTTATAGGAATGGAGATATAATTTTAGTTTGGAAAGCGTTGAGATTAAAGTGTCATACGATTTAAAAAGAAACATAGAGTTTACTATTATACTATTTTATATTTATTTAATATTGTATTTATATATAAAGTTAGTATAAAAAAAAGTTGTACTTATAAAGTGAATTGTGAACTTATATCATTAATAGCGGGATCACAATTTTTCTACTAATAAAATATACAATCATCATGTATATTTTTAAAAACTTCGGGATAGCAATAGCATACCTATGCTACCTTTGCCCTTTCTTTTTTATACCTAGCGTTATTTGGTTTAATGAATATTTTTTATGTCATAATAATATTTATGTCTTTTTAGTTAATGAAAAAACAATGAAAAAGATAATATTTCAATTAAATTATAATGTATATGAATATAGAAATTTAGGTAAGGGTACCTTCTTAGTATTGGAAAAGAGTTGCGACTCTTTCGAAAAAAAACATTATCAATTATTAAATATACATGTCAAATTTAACATGAAATACATATTTAAGATTTTTTTATTTTTAGTATTTAGACTTGTAGTCTTCTTATTATAGACTACAAATTAAAACAAAGTTAAAAAAATTGCGAACCACCTATGGTGAGAAGTTATTTTATTATATGGTTACAAAGTTTATTTGTTTCTAGTAATAAGAAAACACTTCAAATATCAAAATGAATAAAATGACCCCGCTCC